GTTCGGCGGGTGTAGAGCCGCAGGGGGTTTGGGGGGCGTAGGGGGCGTTGAGCGACGGGCGGCTAAAAATACCGCCTGCTTGCCGAAACGGAGCGGACGGGAAGCAACAGATTGGCCGATTCTGTCAACATGATCGGACAACATACTCAGCCGCACGACAACGACCCAAACGCCCCGTTGTCAGACTCACCATCAACCCTCGCCAGACGGCTGATTATTGGAATTATTAAACAAAGCGATAGACAAAGAAGATACAGGGAGTATGGAACAATCATATCGGTTGAGATGGATGGTTTTTACAGACAAAGGGGGAAAATGATGGAGTACCTGTAGGGTCTCTCGTGGGTTGCCGTTAGTTAGTCTATTACCTACCTTCTATGTCCATTGCAACCACCCGCTCCCACCAGCAGGATTGCTCCATATCCCTGCTGTCTCTTTTGTCTATAGCTTCATCCATCAATTTCAAAAATCAGCCCGCGGGAGGCTGATTGTTGAAATTGATAGACAAAGCTATAGACGAAGAAAACAAAGTGAAAATAAAGCAATCCTATTCATGGGAGCGGGTAGTTGCGATGGTCAAAGGGGGTAAGATATAGATAGGCTAACGACAACCCACGAGAAACTCTGTAGCTAGTCCATAATTTTCTCCCTTGGTCTATATTAACAACCTGTTTCAACGTAAAGGATCGCTCCAGGTTCCCTATGTCTATAGCTTCGGTCCGTCCATTTCAACCATCAGCTTGCAGGGAGTTGCTGTATAAACTTTCGGCTAATAAACTGATTTAGTGACTACACTGGGGGAAAAAAAACACATTGGATCTAGAGTCCAGACTCTTAAAAACATCGACAAGAAAAAATGAAGTATGCCGTAGCCGCTAAATCAGTCTACTACGCACGATACAACAAACTACTGGTCAAATTACAATTTTTAGTACTCTGATGTATTATGGTTTTAACTTTCTTGTGAAGAGCGATTCGTTCGACGATCATAACGGATATCAACTCCAAACCAAAATAATACGTTTAGAATTGGCCACGAAAAGTAGTGCGACGCGGATGAGTGAAATGAGTGTGAGCGACGAGGAATCTTGTGCGCCTTCAATTTTGTATGTATGCATCGCAGACATCCTTCAAGCACGAATAGTTGTATCCAAGCGCCTTCAAATACTGCGCGTTATCCAGCGATTAATCTACCGTACTGAATATTATATTACGTTTCAAAAATGTATTGTTCACAGAAATTTGGGGATACGATGCTTTCATAAGGTTGCTAAAGAACAGATATCTGCACAAAGAAAACTGATGAAAAGTGCATGAAACTATTCAACAGAGCCAATTCAGAGCGCAATGGATCACTCGACACGGTACGAATTTAAGCATCCTGACATTTGTTTTCTCATCAAAATTTCACGTAAAATATGATTCTCCAAAGCGTAGATAATGTGCAATAGTTGAGCAGAAGCGTCGAGATTGAGGGTGTCATATTTTCATACCGTGGAAACTGTCATGGTAACGTTTAATGTGCGATCTAACTCAGATAGATTATTGTTTTTTCTGTGAGCGGAAAGTTGAAATTTACGCATGGAAAAACGTTAAAATCTTTGTTAGGGATTACTTTACTACAGAAGAAAGTCTCTGACTCAAAGGTGAAGCGTAAATCATTGGCTTTTGATATATTCCCATTTGAAATTATGATGACGGAGCGATTAGCAAGGAACACCCTGATGATCGATTAATTTCCATTCATTAGAACACTAGATCCGTTGCTTTATCGCAAAGTACGCGCGTCAGTGGTCGGCAGACAGAGAATTAATCTGCTTGAAAATCTACGTAATAAGGGAGCTGAAAGAAATGCCATCCTCCAGACGGAAAAATTTGACCGCGCTGAAACGACATTATCTCGCCAGACGAGTTGTGGTTAAATGAGACAATTTTTCAGCAAGAGACAGATGCTTTCCGGCCCTGTTTAATTTAAAAGAGAAACTTCCGATGCAATAAATAAATAACGAAGGGCCGGACAATTTAATGCACTCCATAAAATAATTAAATAAAGGCAGTAAACCGAGGAAAATGGGAGTGGAATTGTTTTACGAGCAGAATAAACCTCCAGTCAAATTAGCCCTGGGCATCGCAGGCAGTGACAGAAATATAACTTCATAAAAGAAAGTCAAAGCTCCACGGCGCTGTAGAATACGACTCAAGACGCGTCATTTACAAGGAATATTGCTCTCCGCTGCGTAACTACGCCAATGAACCAATGCGCGAACGCTTACGGAATTGAGGAGTTGAGCGACAAGTGAATATGACTCAAATTAAATTTCTTAAAAACTACGTTAATTGAACTGCTAGCTCTACACTGTCATATTTCCGGTTTGCTTGGACAGTTTTGGCCGTTTTTTGTTTCAGATGTTCGCAAAGCCTCTTTCTACTCTGGTATCAACACTGGAAAAAAAACACATTGGATCCAGAGTCCATACTCTTGAAATATTTGTCAAGAAAAAGGACTCTTGATTCAAATCAGATTTAAGCTTAAATCAAAAGGAAATCCACTCAAATTAAGAGGCTAGGTTCTTGATTTAAGCTTAAATCTGATTGAATCAAGAGTATTTTTTCTTGACGATGTTTTTAAGAGTCTGGACTCTAGATCCAATGTGTTTTTTTTTCTTTTTTTTTTCTAGTGAACAACTTTATTTTGGCTTTTTGTGGACTTGGGTCTCTTCTCCCTTAAGCGATAAGATGTGGATATAACCCTAACAGAAAAAACATTATAAAAAATATTGGGAAGCAGAGAACTCACAGTGATGATGAAATGACCATCGAAAACGGTAAAACAATGGGTATTTCGTCGTTTTCATTGACTCTCTGGAGGAATAATGTCACTTACTGCTATTTTGTCTGAAACTACGTCATTTTTTGCGCACTTACGGCTATCTCATTTGTCTCGTTATCATACAATTAAGATGAATTTCGCTGTTTTGGCTATTTCATTGATTTCATCTAAATGTGACTTTACGAATTTTGAGGGAAACTGGATTTCGAAATTTAGACACTTACTGCTTTCTTTGCTGCCACGGCAAAAATGTCCCCCTAGTATAATCCACTTTTAGCGATACCTCGAAAACTACTGATCCAAGAGTACTTTATTTGGTCTCAAATGAAATATATTCAATTACATTTAGCATCTTATAGGTATTAGTTAGTTACGTTCCCTCCTCGGGGAAACAGCAGTTTTTTCTCGAAGCTCGGCAACGGAGGTAGGGGGATGAGAGGGGAAGGAAGACGATATGACAGTAACGGCTCGGCGATTAAGTTCAATGTTCGTTAGCGTAATGAGAAACAAACAAGAATGCGCTTGATTAGACTTCGGAACACCCTGAATCCCGCCTCCCCTGCCCTCTCACCCCTTGATCCTTGGTGTGGACAAGGTATCATCGCGTCCATCGGGCGAGGCAAGGCGAAGAAAAAAGCTCCACTAGAGAGGGAAGCTTAAAGACGCGGTCCGTCACGTTTCGTCGCCTCGATGCGCTCGTTTGCTCTTTAGATTCGCGAGGAGAATTTCAGCGAAAAATTGGATGACGCCGAGGGCCGTTGACGCGGGGCACAGTGGAATGAGCTTGTGGAAAAGATCGGACATGAATTTCGTTTTTACAAAAACTGGAAATTATCATGTTTGCTTGTCACACTTTATAATAATGAAACTGAATTTTGAGAGATGTTTCTAAACGGAAATTTTTCAAGAAAACCAATTGAGTCACTTTTAAATTCATAGGTTTTGGATGAATGAAATAGGAAGATATAAGCTTTTAAGTTAACACATCATAATTGACTTCTCTCATTGTCTAGCACTATAAAGAAGAAAGATTAAATTTATAGACAGAGTAGATAGAAGGGATATAGAGGGATCCTATTAATGAAAGCGGATGGTTGCAATGGACAAAGGACGTAGGTAATAGACTGTCTGCAACCCACAAGGGTCTCTATAGTTAGTCCATCATTTCCTCCCTTTAAATAGTGTATAGGACCTAGGACCTACCCGTTTCAACCAATAAGATCGCTCCATATTCCCTGTGTCTTCCCTGTCTATCGCTTTGTCTAACAATTTCAACAATGAGCCCGATGTGCGGCGTCCGAAGAAGAGGGAAGGACATTGTGATGGATAATAATAAAACCTTGCTAACAGTAGATTCGCGAGCACCCGTTTCAGACATTTGTGTCGCGTTTCCACCTCTGTTGTCGAAAGAAAACCTGCTTCCGGGTCAAGATCGGTTTCCACAACGACGAGGAAGGATTCTTAACTTTCAAAGGAATTCAAATTCGCAAATTTAAGTACTTGCTATAGTTTTTCAAGGACCTCCAATAACTATTAAGCACTTACTTAAAGCACCATTACATTAAAATGAGCAGGAAGCTTAATATTACCCTGATTGTCCAAAAATCGAGACAAAGTGACGGTGAAACTCCCAACCCACGTATCTCAGTTTGTGACGTCGCAGACTCCCTGTCAAACTTAATTTTTTGAATGAAAAACTACTCAACATCAATCCTTGAAAACTTCCGTGATTTTTCATCTCCGAACGAAGAAAACACTGTGTAAACTTCAAGGAATGACATTGATTTGTTCTCTTTCGACAAAATAAAATAGGAGCGGAGATTTTTAAACACCGCAAACTAGATACGTGGTCTGGTAGTTTTCGATAAACACCTTCCCAAATACCATAAAGAAAACATAATTTTTTTTTTTTTTTTTTTTTTTTTTTTTTTTTTCAAATGTTAAGAAACTATAGGGACAGTGCTGGAATAATAATGTCCCGCTGCACAAAAATTTTATTTTGAGAGATTAGACACGAAGCACCAGTTGCTAGAACCTTTGCACTTAATTATTGATCAGCATGGGTGAAAATCAAACGGTCAGAACACGATTCTACCATCGCTCGAACACTGAAAAGTCACCCATACATTTGTGAATACAAAACATGCCAAAAACTTAAAATGAGCCTTACCTTTTCTAATCTTTTCAGGACCATCACTCTCACTGTGAGGAGTGTCTAATTCGTTATCTTCTTCACCGGGTGGCGGTCCGTTTATCGACAATTTATGGCAAACTTCAAAAGCTTGGCCTACCGTTCGCACTACTCGCATTGCTTGATTCTGAAACACACAAACGACACAAACATTATTATTAACTGAGGGTATGTTCCAACGATGCGATAGATTTCGATGTACGTTCATTGGTGGTGCAGAGAGAGAGCTTCCGTTGCTCTATTATAATACTACCGAAAAATAGAGGCAGCGGCAAAATTTACGACGTTCAATTTTCTTTAAAAAAATTGACCGATTAAAGACAGAGAACAAAGTTGATCCCGCTTCAACAGAAAACTAGTATTTTCCGCGAAAAAAGCGTGATTGATGAGAGCAGTAAGTACAAAACGTTGCCGACGTTTCTGATTAAACAGCTACGAGTACACAACCTTGAGAGAAAGTATGAACATTCTTCCGCCTGGAGCAAATTCGCTGAAGCAATCCGCGATCACCGACAGTATCAGTCATCCACTAGAGATGAATAGATACAAATATAATTTAGTAATCATAATGCTGCATTCTGCCGTGAATTTAAATAAACACATTTTCTTCTTGAGTATGAGGTATGGATGTTTTGCGAGGCAAATTTTCGTGTACACGCGTGGGACGAGTGTCCTTAGTTAGGTTGGGGTATGGTACATGGTGACTGACAGCCATGAAATGGTGTATTTTAATTGGGACTGGTTTGGAATTTGATCGCTTATCGCATTACAAATGACGGGTCATAACAATTGCGATGATTAATAACTGGGGATATTCTGAAATTCTTGGGTTGGTTGCATTTTTGGGCCCTAAAAGTTCCATGACCTAATCTCAAATTTACCGACATGTTCAAACCTTCCATACATACTGCCGTGCTAAGGAAGAACGCCGAATGAATATTCGAGAGTTGCCAAATTTCCTCAAATAAAACAGGCTTTTTGAAGAGAGCTTTGCATGTTTTTCCTTGAAATGGAGATGTTGCATCTGTAAGGAATTTGCGATTTGACTATGGATTCTTACGTAAAAGTTTGCGAGAAACATGATGGTGCCACTGGTTGTCTCTGAAATCAACTTCCAAGCTCCAAAAAAGCTCTGAAGTTGAGGCCGAACTGGAGGGGATATCCCACCCTACCCTGAGAGTCCACGTCAACATCAAGACAAACTCTCCATGCAAAGATCGGGAGTAAATACATTGACAGGGCTGCCACTTTACTTGGGGACTCTAAAACTGAAAACACGGAAACCCTGCTAATGTATTTGCTCTCTATCTTAGCATGGAGAGTTTGTCTTGATGGAGAGGTGGACTCGCAGGATAGCGTGGAATACCCCATCCATTTTGGCCTCGACTTGAAAGCTTTTTTGAGCTTGGGAGTTGATTTCAAAGAAAACCAGTGGCGCCATCGTGTTTCTCGCGGATTTCCACAAAATAATCAATAGTCAAATCGCAAATTCCTCACACATGCAACATCTCCATTGTCAGATATTTTAGATTAAATTGTGAAAAAAATTCTCTAAAAAATTGGTGGGAGAACATACGGAATTTTCCCAGTAAATTCGTTTTTTATTGAAGGAGATACGGCAACGCCCGAAAGCTCTTACGGCGCTTTTCCTTAGCGAGACAGTATAGGTACTCTATACTTCAGGTAGGACGGCAGGTTTCGGGTCCGATCCACCGAGTGCATTCACGCGGCGAGGTGTTAGAAAACAATTATTTCAGCTCTCTTGTCTTGCGGCCAAGCTCGGAGCAGTTGTGCACGGAGAGCGCCTATTTTTACACAGCCGCCTTTCTAAACTTAGAATCAATCAGTGCTCGCGACTACACAAATAAAATCAAAGCCTCGCCGTTACACTGTCACTTAGCCTATAAATATTCCCCGGCTCGAACCCGCGCCCCGCATCGAGCTGCGCGAAAAATCGATTTGTCCGCCATCTAAACCTATGAAAAAGGATCGATTATCAGCGTACACCTTAGTAATCGATTCTTTGCTGTGGTTTCGAATGGGAAAAAATCGATAGTCCATGATCCGCGTGACGCATGACGCTTTCTGGAAATCAATTGGCCGGCATCGATGACAGTGCAGACGGTCAAAACGGCCCGCGCCACCCGCCGCGAGTGACGTCATCGGGGTCCCCGCTTAAAGCTCGCTTCGCCGCTTGCCAATTGGGATGGGTGTTGGAAGAAGGGGGGCGTTTTCGTTTCTCACTCACTTAATCCTCGATTGCATTCTTCGAAGTCTTGTTCGACAACTTCGGATGTTGGTTTACAATTGGATCGAATTCGGCAGCGAGGAATCTACGCGCACTACCGCTGCCAAGTTGCTTTCTGGCGAGTAAATTGAAGAGTTCTTTAGAAAGGGCGTAAGGAAATGCAATACTGTTTCCGGTTGAACGCAGTTTGAAAGCCCTGCTAGGATTTTTTTCTGGAAAAAAATCTCATAATTTTGATGTATTTTTCTGTGGAAATGATTAGCATGAATGTGTAACTTGGTTCGCGGCAAATTTGTGTACGAGGTCGCACGATCTTAGCAGCATTGCAGGTCTTATACGCCCTTGTTCCAAGGAACTCCTTAATTATTGACTCAATCGGAAAATATGCCTTGTTGCAATGTTGTTTGTCTGGCAAGGTCATGTGTGCGGAGGCGATTTGGTGTCAATATCAGCCTCCCCAAGTTGAAATTAAGCTCTTGCATGTCACGGGGAATCGTGATTTTCGGCCTTTTGGACTTATTAGAATTGAAAATCTTAGCATCCGATAGAATTTATTTTATCCGAGTGTCTCTAAAATTCAGCTTAACTGCTGATTTTTCAAACATTGCAATTAAGGTACGCAATTCACACATTTAGCTGTCGCTGTAATGAATAGTATATATTTCTGTGTGAAGAGTATAATTAATCGTGATGAAAATAGGTGATATCAGTCGCTCTTTTAGCCAGGGTGTCTCTGAGTGTATCATCTGATACTAATTAGATTACCAGACGATAGATCCTAGCGAAAGTCATAGAATCCGGCTCTAGAAAAGGTGCGAAAAGCGAATAACCACGTAATTCTTGTTGCTTGACAGTCATCATTTCGTCAGCTAAAAAGAAGGGCTGGCTACACGCGGAAATGCTCCGAAACTGACCTATTTCCGCCCATTCCCAAGTTGTTGACAATATTCTCGAATTCCTGTGGGGACACGAAACGAAGGAAACACATTTTTTTTTCGCAATAGGCTCAAGAAAAAACGTTTCTCCGCAGAGCTGTCACCCTCAGCATGAGATACGACCGCTAATTTTAATCCGAGATGGAAGAATAATATCAGCGAAAAGTAAACATTGAAAAATCCGATTATCTCGCAGGAAAAGGGTGCGGAGAAAAGCGTTGCGCACTCCTGACAGAATCTCACATTCTTCACGTGGATACGTGGAAAGAGTCCGAAAACTGACGAAGAAAGATTGTGGGATTGTACATATAATAATATGAATACGAGCATTTTTTCATAAATAAAAATACCCTGAAAATAAAACAACACTCTTATCTCTAAATCGATTAACACTATTATTCTGCTAACACGCGATTCTGGGACGAGCGCACAATTGGACTACAATTGGACCGCGATTCGTAGAGAGGAACCAAACCACATCAATTCTTTCCAAAAACGGAGCTATTTAATATTTCACAGGAGTATGTTTGTGCGAATTTTTTTGAAATTTTGAAGGAATTTGCTTCGTGCTGTACAGAAATTTACTGAAATTTGCAACAAAAAAAACCAGCACAACGTTTTCATGTAGAGAATTAAATTGCCCAATTAAATTTGACAATAGCTGCTGCGGCTTGGTTCCTTTCTTCTCAACGCATTCCAATACACAATAAGGAACTGCTATCTCTAGCTAATTTAAAAGCAACAATTGCGCCATTGGTTTCCTGATGTAGATACATATTTTACGGGTAAACCAGAAATATTATGGTTATAGTTCCTTAATGCAAAATGTTTTCCAACTGACCAATCGGAACGCGAGCAGCAGTGGCGTGACGTGCTTGCGATATATTAATCAATTTGTCATTTAAACTTATGGAAAAGGATCGATAAACAGCGTGTTTGCAACGAACACCTTAATATCGATATTTTACCATAGCTTCAAATGGGGATATATTGATAATCGATAATTTACGCCTTGCTACTGGCGAACAGCTAGGATCGAACCTGAATTGCATTTCGACGGTGAAACTACCAGACCACGTAACTAGGTTTGCGACGTTGCGGACACCCTGACACCGTGCCATACTTTATTTCATGAATAGAAAAGTACTCAACGTCGATTTTTGAGAATTTCCGTGTTTTTTTTTCTTGTGTCTGCGAAGAAAACTCTAAAAATTATAAGAAATAATATTGATTTGTTCTCCTTCAAAAAAGTAAAATGGGAGCGGAGATTTTTAAACACCGCAAACGAGATACGTGGTCTGGTAGTTTCACCGTCGATTTGTGACAGTCCAATGTGCTAGCTACTTGTAAGTCGCAATCTCTGAGAGACATCGAGAGAAACAAGAGTACAGTAGTTCAACGGGCCATTGTCTTCATCCCTAGATGTCTCGATGTAACTCCAGGGGGGTCTTGCTTTTTTTTCATTTTTGAGAATCCTCCTTTTTCTGATTTTTGACTGCTAAATCCTGATTTCATAATTTTTCCAAATCCAGATCAAATCCTGATTTTTTGCGGAGAACAAAACGCGCGAATGTAACTCCAAGAAATTAGCTCGATAAAAAATCCGATCGGACAGCTGACTTTTCTCAAAGCCTGATTTTCCGGCCGATTTTTCTTCAATCCCTGATAAAATCGGGAAAATCCTGATGCTAGACACTCTGAACTCACAATTTCGGTGGATTAAACTAAAGATTTGTTCAATCTAACAAGCCCTTCTGGTTGATCTGATGAGGGAAAAGTTAGCTCAAAGTGACCGAAAGTAACACGGAAATTAGTAAGCGCACTGGGAAAAAAAACGCATTGGATCTAGAGTCCAGACTCTTAAAAACATCGACAAGAAAAAGTACTCTTGATTCAATCAGAATCTAGCTTAAATCAAGAACCAAGCCTCTTAATTTAAGAGGATTTCGTTTTGATTCAAGCAAAAATCCGATTGAATCAAGAGTATTTTTTCTTGTCAATTTTTTCAAGAGTCTGGACTCTAGATCCAATGTGTTTTGTTTCCCAGTGTGTGTCTGTTAACCTTGATTCAAATCTCACTTGTGCAGTTAAAGGAGCCGGCGTGGTGCTTACCTCCAATTCCAAATCATCATCACTGGGTGCGAGCGGGTGGCTCTCCTCGAGGATCTCCTCGGGGGCCCCGTTCTTCTGGGCCTCCCCAGCGGGGCCCGCGGCGGGGCCCTTGCCTTTGGCGTTCTTCGACTTGCGCAGAAGTCGCGACGTCACCCCTTGCTTCATCTGCATGTAGTAGCCCATGATCTCCGGCTCGCGGAACGACAGCTTCTTCCGGGGTCGCTCCACGTCCGCTGTCGCCATCTGGGTCCCGGGGCCCCAACTACCCGAACTTCCTTCCCCCCGCTGGCTCTTGCGCATCACCACGCCTGAGGGCCCATCCGACGAGCTCCGCCGATCCGACTCGGGGCCCTTCCGCTAAATTCAAACACTTCCAATTGGATTCGGGTCCCTCCAATTAAAATTTTGCTGCTCGATCAAATTTGGTTTCCTCTGATGACGCTTGAATATTCCGATTAAACTTGGACCCCTCCGACTGACTTTGGCCACGTCAGGCTTGAACCTTTCAAATCGAACTTGGGTCCCTTCGATGAAACTGGGATCCGCGAGTTAAACGTGGGCCCCCTTCGACCGAACTTGGACCCCTCCGATTGAATTTTGGGCCTCTTCACGCCAAGCACCGAACCTCAAACATCGGCTGAGCTAAAGTCTTCGCCACGAAGGCAAACTGAGTTCAAGCCATCGGTACAAGGGCTGGCTTAGTTCTTTACACACCGTAAAAGAGCGCACTTCACACTGCACTATTCTCGCACTTTAGATAGTCACATGTGCGTTTAGAAGCACTCGGCTTCAGGAATTTCCTGGCGAGGCGTTTGAAATTTGCAGACTGATACGATGGATGTTTTATTTTTACAATTGGGCTCTGCATTTATCATGAAAAATCGACTGATAATGAAGCTTCCGGATCTGTAAATGAAAATGCTTATTTGTAAATAACAAGGAAAGGGTGGATTAAAAAGTAGGGTAAGTTAAACGAAACGTTTTTACAATGACGACGAAACGCGGCACAATTCGGAAAAATCACTTTTAAGCGAGAAAAACATTGAAAATTGGTTTCATTCGATCTTCTCCCCTCTGATCCTGAGCAGTCACGTGCTACGGGCTTCCTGCGGCTGGCAAGTTATAGGCCTTTGCAGCGCGGTTTATTGTAGATCAAGAGCTACCACGAAACGTTAGGGATTTTGGTTCCCAGTAGAAAGCCAAAGAAATTAGTTCCATTAAGATATTGGTAACGTTATGTGATTTATACAGCCGGAAAAATTTAATCGAGATTCATTGGAGATCACAATAATTTCTTAACAAAAATTCCTCTTGGTTTTTTGGGTGAAAATCTCGAAAAGCTACCTAGATTATATCATTTCTCGGGGGAGCGAAAGGGGGGAGGGTTGTGTCAATTTGTGCCAATAACCCTGCTGAAGTCTTCCTGTACAAGCATTTTCAATTTTTGATGAAGTATGGGTTCGAAAAAGATGCCAAAAGAACAGTGTCTACGGAGATTAATACGAAAATCCCTCTTTCTTCAACAATTGTCTACCTTATTCGCCCAAGAATACTATCACCCACCAAAAATGGGCGATTTTTCATGTTAACTCCAGATTGATCTAAACGTTCGCAACTCCCGTACAAATATAAATTACAAGTCTTCGAAATTTTTATTCCAACAGTCGTGAAACTCAAAATTAGAAGAAGAGCCGATTAAAAGAAGCGGAGGGGGTACCATCTTTTCAATGAGATGTCCTAGATGGTTCCTCTTTTCCCAATATTTTAAGATCATAATTTTTTTCCTTAAAGTTTTCTTCGTTTTTCAGGTTCATCAGCCCCTTTGACACCTTAAAAATAAGAGTTCTAAACTATTTCAAAATTATGCGAAAAACATAAGGATGCTTTCCGTTTTGTCTAAAGTCAACTCCTCAGCCTAAAAAGGCTCAAAAGCCAAAGGGCTCACGAAGTCAAGAGGTCATAATAGAAGAGTAATTCCATGGGAGTTCACCGCTATACTCAATTAAACTCACCATGCAAAGATGAGGTTGAACACATGATCAAGTTTGCCATGATTATGGGCTACAAATTACCTTCCTAACACTTTAAGTCATCATTAAGAGTGGCAACCCCGCTAATGTATTCAGCCCTATCCCTTCTTGGAGTGTTTGACTGAAGATAACTGTAAATTATTATTTAGTACAGGAGTGCTCCTTCATCACAGCATCAACTTTATGAGCTTTTCCGAACTTGAGACCTAATTTCGTCGTTTCCTCACGAAAGAACGTAACTGCATTTCAATGTTGCCAAATTCCCCTTGGAAAATTTCATTTTAACCAAGACAATTTTGGATATTTCTAGCTGAAAATTTCAGTGACGTTTCCTCTAATCTCATGCAAAACTCAGACAATTTTTGAACAAAAACTGCTCAGGTACACTCTTGTAAAGTATTGAATTGTTAGAGTCAATTTTGCAACCTTGGGATGGAGTTAAGTTCCTTCGTGCGGGAAACGACGATTAAAGCCATAACTAGTGATGCCGTGCTGAGGAAGAACGCCGTATGAACATTCGAGAGTTGCCGAATTTCCCTTGATAAAACATGGATTTTTGACAAAATTTATGCATATTTTTCCTTGAAATTTCCAGATAATTTAGATTAATTGCGCAAAAAATTGTCTGGAAATTTTAGGGGAAAATATTTACAATGGACCACTTGGCAAGGTATGAATTTAAGTAATCTGATACATGTTTCTTGACCAGAATTTCACGTAGAACACGACTCGGACAACGAAAATTACTGAAACCAAACTCCTAACGAGTGTATTAACGTTTTTATTTCACAATGGTTACGACGAATTTGAACTGCCCGCTCACAAGAAACTCAAAGCTCTACGTGAATCAAATCGCGCACTACAACGGTTTCGGCGATCTTCTCTATCGAGGAATGTTCATTTCCCACCATGTATTGTTCAACTATAAGCAATTTGCTATAGCTGAGCCAAAGCATCAAGATTGAGGTTGCCAGATTTTTATCGCAGAGACTGTCATGATAAACGTTTAGCGCGCGATGTGGATCACGTAGAGCATTGAGTTTTCATGAACAGGTGGTTTGAATTCACGCATCAAGAATCATTAAATATCTTCGTAAGGAGTTGATTTCGGTAATTTCGTTGTGCGTATCGTGTTCTACGTTAAATTTTGGTTAGGAAACGTGTATCAGAATGCTGAAATTCGTACCTTGTCTAGTGGTCCATTGCACAAAAAATTGTCTGAAAATTTTAGGGAAAAATACATGTATTTACAATTTTCCCGGTAAATTCGGTTTTTATCGAAGGAAATTTGGCAACGTCTGAAGGCTCGTACGGCGTTCTTCCTTAGCACGGCAGAGTTGCTCCATCTAGTTTCCTCGCAAATTTATACATGGGAACAGATGCTTAAAACGAAAACCCCGAACACATGTCGGAGGACGAATTTAAGGGAGGAACCCACGAAATTCAGGCAAAAAACCTGTTCGAATTTGTCAGGGGGAACAGGAGGGCACTCGGCCTGGAGCGTGTTGCTACGGGGCATCTCATTTAGGTTAAGCAAGATTGATGAACGTTATTGAGATGAAACTGAACAGGGACTGCGCGATGAAAGGGGAGGGAGGGGTTGATTTGGGACGGGGGCCGAGGCGGGGTGGCAGGGAGCGAAGGGGCCATGAGTAAACATGACGAGAGTGAGCGGGTTTATATAAATAGTGAACTGAATTAACCGTACGGAAACAGTCCAATCCACGGGAGTTTGACCGACAGCGGTTGGACAGCTAACTTTTTCACCAGATTCCACGCGCACGGATTGATCGCTCCGTCGAAACGAATACAGGCTAATTTCGCTTCCCACTTCCACCTGAACACTGAACACACCCTTATTTGAATAGCTCCCAACTTCCCAACTTGAGTATTTGACTTTCATTTGGAGCTCTGGCGACCCGGGGGACTTCTCGAGGATTTCGGGTTGAATCGTCAGCCCACGCCAAGGACGGATAATTTCGGATTATTAATTACTTTTTCGCTCATTTCTGTTATGTTGGATTGTGCGACAGGGACCGGGGTGTCTACTACAGCAGGCCGGCCAAAAATCAGTGCTTTCTCAGTACACTCCCAAGAGATTCAGTATCACCTCGACAGAAGAATTCACTGGAAAAAAAAACACATTGGATCAAGAGTCCAGACTCATGTAAACATTGACAAGAAAAAATACTCATGATTCAATCGGATTTTTGCTTGAATCAAAACGAAATTCAATTAAATTAAGAAGCTTGGTTCTTGATTTAAGCTAGATTCTGATTGAATCAAGAGTTCTTTTTCTTGTCGATGTTTTTAAGAGTCTGGACTCTGGACCCAATGTGTGTTTTTTTTTTCCCCGTGTTCTGTGCTTCTTCAGGACCTCTATTTGACGAAATACGAATAATTTTGAAAATGTGAAATTCTCGCTCGAATTGCGATAAAAATGACGTAGCCACAAAATTTCATTGGTGGCGTGGGGATTAATTGACCGCACAATCGCGATCTTGCAGGCAAATACTACTCTGAGAATCAACGCGCAGGGGATTGCATACTTTCCAGGCTTTTTTGAAAAGCACGTGTGTTATGAAGAAAAAAGTTCCGGACCTCCTTGCGTAAAATCCGCCTTTTTCACTACTTCCGAACCGCCCTTGAAAATTCATTACAATTCCGGAAATTCCAGACTAGTAGACAGCCTGAGGGAAAACTATATCGGTCCAAATTTTAGTGAGTGAAAAGACGCTTGTTTATGGCTGAACCAACAATTTCTGCTCACAGCTCGTAAAACTAAGGTGATAATGCGCAAAAGTAGACAAACGTGAATATTTCGAATAAATATCGCTGATGTAAAGGTTACGTTCTTAACTATTTGCGGAAGACGGACAGTTTCAACCATATAATTACAACCAAGTATATCCACCACGAGGCCATATTTTGGCAAGGTTTGCCTAAATTTTGCAAAACATGCCGCGATGACAGTAAACCAGATCTTTTCGAGGATATTTGAAATTCCTATTCAACTTTTTCAGGAAACACTTTTTTAACTTTTTCAAACACTTTTTCAACTTTTTTTTATGAATGCTGAAAGATTTGAAGTCGGTCCAATGCAATCACCCCGAGAGGTCATATCTACACTCCGCGGAATCACAAGAAATTTGGATCAAATCTTGCATAATTTTATATAATTCACGTGTCAGACGAGGCATGCCTCCGAAGTTTACATAAATGGACTTTCAACTTCTGGGAAACTAGGATGAAAGAAGCTCATGGGCTAGCGAGCTGCCAAATCCCTCGCCAAAGGGTCACAGACTCGTACTCCTTACAATTGCAGTAAATTTTGATCACGTTTTTCACAATTTGACAAAATTAACGTCAGACTTGGTAGATGTACTTTCAAAGCTTTAAGAAATTTTCTTTCAAGACTTGAGGGACATTCAGAACCTCTCCCGAGGGATTACACCGAACACTTCGCGCAACGTTCAGCCCCTCAAAAAGACATTTAGTATGATTGGATCGAAGTCTGCCGAATTTTGCGCGGCTAGCGTACAAAAAGGTGTATTTTCGAAGCTTTCAAAACTACTTTTCAAATATTGAGGGTCCAGGGGAAGAAGTTCGCAGGCTTGAGAGGAGTAGAATGACTCCTTAACGAAAGGACTGTAGCACGTACCCCACACTGAACTTGGTTCAGAGGATATGTTGGATTGAATTCGACAAATTTCTGCAGAGCTTAACAAAATGACCTCAAAAGTAGGAATTTTGGTAAAATTGAATTCGAATTCCAGGATAAAGAGCTAGCTCTAACTAAATTATGGGGTTAGAAATCCTTCACGGCACGGAGAAAAAGAGCAAAAGTTAATGTATGATACAGAAATCTAGAATGAATTGTGGTAGTGCCCCAATAAAGTAGGTTACTAACCCAAATGTTGCGGTACTATCCCAACTTCAGTTGCGGTGCTATCACAATAAATTGGAAATGTCTATATCAACTTAACCAACAAGTTGGGGTAGTGCCAACATTTTAGGAGATAACCCTAACACCTTTTTCCGTGGAATAGTAAGGTAGAACACACACTTTAATCGACGTTTCTTCCCCCAGAGAAAGAAATTTGAGTAAAATTTGAGCGAATTCTGCAAAATTTGACACAACTTGGAGGTTTACTATAAATGCTTATGAAAATTGGCTTTGGAGGTTAGGGTTCAAGGGGGAGGAGGCTCACAGGTATAAAGAGGGGTAGAACCCTTCGTCGGAAGGACCGCAGCACGCACCTCGCACTAAACTTGGTCCAGAAGATACGTTGGATTTTTCACAAAACTCTGCAGAACTAGAAAAAATTACTTTTAAAATGGATGTTGGTAAACTCTCCTCCAAATTTCAGGGTGAAAAGCGAGCTCCCACGCATGATTAACACGCACTATGAGCAATGCTCAGCCCCCAAAAAATAAATTTGAGTAAATTTTGATCAAATTCTGCAAAATTTGACGCAATTACAAGATTTATTACCAAAGCTTGAGAAAATTGGCTTTCGAGGTTAGGTTTGAGGGGGAGGAAGGTCACAGGTATCGAGACAGGTAGAACCCTTCGCCGGAAGGATCAGAGCACACACCTCGCACGACGCTTATGTTTTTTTAAAAAAAAAAAAAAGAAAAAAAAGAAAAAAAAAATTTGATCAAATTCTGCAAAATTGGACAGAACTATGAGATTGACTATCAAAGCTCATAAAAGTTGGCTTTCGAGGTTAGGGTTTCAGAGGGAGGAAGCTCACAGGTATCAAGATGGGTAGAACTTTCGTCGGAAGGATCACAGCACACACCTCGCACGACGCTTATATATTTAAAAAAAAAAAAAAATTGATTAAATTCTGCAAAATTTGACACAACTACTAGATGTACTATCAAAGCTCATGAAAATTGGCTTTCGAGGTTAGGATTTCAGGGGGAGGAAGCTCACAGGTATGAAGACGGGTAGGACCCTCGTCGGTAGGGTATAGAACGCACCTCGCGCGACACTCTGCCGGAAAACTACCTCGCGAAACGCGGCAAGATTCGGCGATGGAAATGCACGGGGTGCAGTAGGACGACTAGACGCGGGCGGCGCCCGAAAATCGGACGGAAAAGACGAGACTCTGGCGAAGTCGGCGTCGGAGTCGGAGAGCCCCTTCTTCGTGCAGCGACCCGGTCGCCCAGCGGTCCGGCCCAGTCGGCCGAGAGCTTTCGATTTGGCTGCACGAGCGCCGAGCCGAGAGCGACTCCCGACTATTTTTACCGTCAACAAATAATAAATAAAACAACCGTGTTCCACGATTGACTCCCGCCGGCCCCGCGCCCGCCTCGTTTCAACAATTCTTCATTTTTCGGGATGCCCCGCTTTAAATAGCCGCCCCGCCGCGTCGCCAAAACGTGCGGAAAATCCCCGCTTTTCCCCGTAAACGAGGTTAATAGAGAGGAAGTATAGGGTGTCCTCATAAAGGGAGAATCGACACCGGGCCTTCAGGATAAAAAAAAATGGCAGTGATTCTAGGTGGAAGGACTAAGGAGGTTGTGTTAGCCAACCGTTGAGTCATGGCTAGCTGCACTCATTACTAGAGTACCTGTATAGGGAGAGTACGGACGTCGGTGATTTGATAAAAAATCACTAAAAAAAAAAAAGTACCGACCGTTCCGGGCTCAAAGGCCGAAAGTTGCGGGTGCTTAAGTCGTAGTTTTGATTGCTCCGGGTGCTATGCCCGGAACGCGGACGGTGTGTCTATATACCCCGTGAGTACGGCTTCCACGGCCGGAGTTTTTTTTTTCACTGTTATTGATGGCTAAGCACATAACATACATCCTGAACTATTTTCAGGTTTTCCCTGCTTGATCAAAAGAGAAAGTAAAACTCAAATATATGTGTCATAGTTCTCATGAACTCAGTCTCATGATTCATGAAATTGTCATGAAATCTAATGATTTCTTTTTTTAAAATATAATTATGTTCTAGATTATCATAATCAGAAAATACAGCAATGTTTTTCTCGCATGAACGTTTCAAATTAAAGAATTCACTGTGCATTCCGAAAATTTCCAGAATTTCCCGATTTTTCACGTTTATCTGTCATTTCCCTTTTCCCTCGCTCCTTACAGCGCTATCCATGCATTATATGCACTTTTCATCACACAATCCGACAGCCTGGCCTCTCCCCGCCCAAGCAGTGCGAGAAACTCTACCATTTCGCTAGCGCTTCGATGGATATGTCTATCGAAATGGAGCGAGTCGCCGATTCGCTGTCCAAATGGCCCGGAAAACTTATTGGACGTCATTGATCTACCTACAAAGGATGTGTGAAAAAACGAGTATCTGCTAGGTCATCATAACGAACTATACGTTGTTCTCTTACATGGATCCCTTCAGCATGATGATCTCTAATTGATCGATGACTTCGACGCGGGAAGAATCACGAGCCAAGCTTCGCTTTGGACCAGTTGTGTCGCGGAATCGCCATATTACGGTGTTCCACGATTCTATTTGAGATTCAATTCCTAGTGAAAGTGTGTTATCAACTGTAATGGGCCGGTAAATTTGAGTATGTGGAATTGCGTTCAAGATATCGGACTCAATTCTCACCCACAGTTTTCTATCTTGCTCATTTAGTTCGAAATGGACCACTAGATAAGGTACGAATTTCAGCATTCTGATACATGTTTCTTAACTAAAATTTCCCGTAAAACACGATGCACACAACAAAAATTACCGATATAAACTCCTTACGATAATATTTAATGATTCTTGATGCGTGAATTCAAACCACCCGCTCATGAAAACTCGATGCTACACGTGATTCACATCGCGCGCTAAACGTTGTCATGACAGTCTCTACGATGTACAAATCTGGCAACCTTAATCTTGACGCTTTGGCTCAGCTATAGCAAATTGCTTATAGTGTGAACGACACATGGTGGGACATGAACATTGCTCGACTGAGAGGCTTGCTGAAACCGTTGTAGTGCGCGATTTGATTCACGTAGAGCTTTGAGTTTCTTGTGAGCGGGCAGTTCAAATTCCTCGTAATCAATGTGAAATAAAAACGTTAATATCTTCATTAGGAGTTGGCTTAAGTAATTTTCGTTGTGCGAATCGTGCTCTACGTGAAATTCTGACTAGAAAACATGTATCAGAATGCTTAAATTCGTACCTTATCTAGTGGTCCATTGTGCGTATGTAGTTTAGTATTATCAATCTCACACTCCCTAAGTGGCTGAATATGAATTACATCTATGTATTGATGTAATTTGCAATTTTGCCAGCAAAAGAAAGGTTCTCATTGAAGTTTCGAGTAAAGTCTGTCAATTTTATATCATCCTAACAGTCTTCTTGAGTCTAATATGCAAATTCTTACTGAAATGTAAAAATTGAATAACTATTTTGATCAACTTCCGCGTAGCCGCTTAAAAAGAACTTTTCTTCAAAATTTCATGCCAGTACTTAATGCTCTTTCCGATTATAATAAGGGTACAATAATTATGATTACGACGATGAAGTGCTGCAGAGATGATTGCACTCAAATTCTACAAAATTCAGTTTTGTAGATTTGTTGAATTTTCACTTTCTAAAAGTTGAGTAGTTGAGAGCCTTGTCGCAAACTTTAATTTTGTATTTCTTAATGTTAATGTATTTTATACTCGTATTTTTCTACATTTCTTTTTGTTTCTCTACATTGCAAGTTTATTTGTCTACGTTATACTCTTATTATGTTGATGGGTCAATTATTCTTCAATGTTATACCTAATAATTATGTACTCGTGTTGAAAAAATTCACTATGAAAATGTGAATCATACAACGTTATCTATGAAGATATAACGATGTTTCGCCCTTGAACTAAGTATCATCTCAAAATTTAGGGTCATATTGAAAGAAGAATTCTTTCAATTCTTACAGTTAAAACATGTGAGGAGCCTTTAGAGAGGAAAATCCAATGGAATTTTGTAGATTTGTTGAATTTTCACTTTCTAAAAGTTGAGTAGTTGAGAGCCTTGTCGCAAACTTTAATTTTGTATTTCTTAATGTTAATGTATTTTATATTTTTCTACATTTCTTTTTGTTTCTCTACATTGCAAGTTTATTTGTCTACGCTATACTCTTATTATGATTGCACTCAAATTGCGATTCTCGCAAGTCAGCGACACCGGTTTCCATCCATTAAAAAGCATGTAAAACAATCGATATCTATCGAGACAAGTCGCCTCGCCAAGAATCGATTACTTATAATGGATTTAAACGACCTGCGAGGATTGGCACGGCTACTCTTCAAGCGTTGACTGCCTCCCTATGGAAAAACCACGCAACCGCACGAGGAAACCCCACGAAGTTACGCTTTTTCCGGTTGAAGAGGATTCCTTTGAAAACGCATCGGAATTAACTGACGGACGGAGGGAAAATTGCTACACTCGAACGCGCGGCCTCGAGGCGTCGTAAAGAGCATTTAATGGACGCCAGGCGTCGCGTCGGGGCCAAAGGATGGAGGCGAGGGTCACAAAGAGCGGAGCAACCCTGGAGTGAAGGGGGGGGGTGGGGGGTGAAAAGCTCGGCGCAACAAGTGGGCTCCTTTTCAAGCCAAGATATCTTTCGTCCGCGGCGGTGCAGTGGTGGGATTCATTAATTTTGTATCTATCTCTTAAGAGAGGGGTCGGCACGTTGGAACCTGGGATGAGAGCTCAGATGAGCAATTTTACATAGTTCGTCTACCATTAAGAACCAAAAATTCTGGCAATTCTTTTCTAACAGTAAGGATAAAACTATTAATTTTACAGATTTGTTTATCTAGTTGCACGAGCGATGAGATAATTTTTCAAAAAAGAAGCCATACATACGATGTATCATAGGCAAATACTTCATAGTACAATTACCTTAAATGCTCATCTTTGGGTTAAACGGAAGCTTTCCACACGTCCTCATGAACGTTTGTTGAACACAGTCCCTCCCAGGAGAAATTGATGGCGAGTTTGAAAGTAATTATTAATTTCGGGCGGACATTCAGGTAGTTGAGATATTTTGGAGGTCTTTTGACACAGTTGCGATCTTTCGAATTACAGTAAAAGCTCGCTAAGTCGAACTACGGTTAAGACGAAATGCTCATTCAGTCGTATTTTTTTTCGGTCCCTATAGACGCGAAGACGCGATAGACGCGATAAGTTAAGTGAAGAATCGGTTAAGACGAATTGTAGCTTGAGTCGAATTTTTTGTTGGTTCCTACACAAATTCGACTTAGCGAGCTTTCACTGTGCAAGGGCGCGAGGGGTTAGTAATTCGGTTCCTTTTTCCTGAGGACCATCACAAAGCATAGACGAAGTACTTTAGACATTTGATAAAGTTAAAGGGAGAAAAAAAGTATGGTTGATATTACAATACTTATGATGGATCCCAGGTTCAACCTACATTTCTATTCGTAGTTATAATGTTTCTTTGGTGAAGAAAGACTAAGTTACAGGAAACAGACAAGGTATGAAATGAAAGTATCACGCAACAAGTTTCTTCTTCAAAATTTTACGAGGTAAAAAAGTCACACAACGAGAGGCCTAGAATTTAACTCCTAACAAGATAGAATCTGTCATTCATTTGATCTATGTGGAACTTGAAGAGCCTGAGCTACTTTTCGAACTTTCCGTTGTAGGAATCGTTTTCGACATGAAATTTTGAAGAGAACGCGTGTAAACCTAGTGGCGCAATAGATCGGATTCCGTAACAATATGCCATTGTCATCAAGTCTGATGCACTTTTATCGTGACTGAATTATTTGCCACAACTGAGGTAACACTATAACTACAATACAATTATTAGGCGGGTCCTGTAATCCACAATGATATTTACGAGGGCGACGATTTTCTATTCCGAAAAAAATCTTCAAGCCACAAAATCTATTTTTTCGACGATATTTTTGATGAAGCCAATACATTCTAATCGGTCCCGACGTGCGTTGCGCCTATTTAAGATGTCACAAACGACTTGAAACCAAGAGAAGGAGGTTCGGTGACAGTAACGCACTTGGCACGAACGCGAGGCTGAAAACGAGCCTAAATGACGGCTCGGGAGACACCGGCTAGGAAGGAACTCGCGAAGCGATGAGAGAAAAGCCAAGGAAAAGAAACGCCACTTAAAATAAGAGCCGTCGTTACGATGACGCACTGCGGAAACATCTCATTTTTAAGGTATCATGAGGGCCACGCGCTTGAGTCAATTACGGTAAGTTGAATGATTCGGGTTGAAAGTGTTCGTTAC